AAATATAATATTGATACACACTACATAGTTGGTGCTCAATGGCATTAAATGGTTAAGTTTCAATAAAATTATAAAAAGTCTCAGTGAATTCTGATCTGGAGGAGTATTTACTACTGAGTGTTGATATGATAAAGTCCATTTCAAGCGATAGTCAACTTAAAGTAATAAAGAGGATAATAAATTGTAATAGGATGTGCGAAAGTAATATGTTAAGTATTCACTTTGCTATCCAACTCCAAATTTTCAAATTGGACATTAGATTTCAAGTGATAATAAACATTAAAGACTAATTTGGATAATTAATTGAAATAGGATGTGCAAAAGTATATCGTATCAAGTTTTGCGTGTGTTATTCAACTCCAAATTTCAAAATCGGTCAGTATATTTTGCTGATGTCATGAATTATTAGTATATTACTTGTATGGCTATATAAGACAGCCTACGAACACTTTTCAATTTTTTCCCCCTGATATTCCAATAACCATTTACGGTCATATTGTTTTCAATTAAAAATTATGTTATATTATGGTGAGCTTTATAACAAGTTTAATAACAAAAAATACTTCACAAGGAAAATTCAAAACGGAAGGTCCTTGATAAAATGGCAAAATCAAAAGCTCAAACACATCAAACGAATGGAAAACAACTGTCATATTCCTGATTTGGTACAGACATTTCCTTGTGAAGAAAGTGGTGGATTATAGAAGCTATTCCTAAAAATATTTGCGTGTCTAATTTAGAAAAACAATAAACAGAGACAAAACCATTTATTTCCAATGATTTAATACTTTCAAAAAGTGTATAAAATGAACAAATGGTCAAATATATGAATGCATGTACATTATGTATTTAAATCCATAACAAACTTTATCAAATTACCAAGGTAAATGTTTTTATTCGAATTATAAGTATGTGTATCGCTCTTCTTAAGTAACAATACTAGATGGTATTGTAAATTAGAGTTTGCTAATTTAAGAAAACACATATAAAATGCAAGAATAAAATTATCTTATTGCATTTCAAGTCAGTCATAAATATTATTACAGAAAAAGACGAGATACAGGATAAGATACTATGCAATTTTTAAAGTAAGCTGTATATAGATGCAACTAAGACGATCAAATGTTTCGCATCAAAACTTATTTTCATTAAATAAAAATCTTCCATATTGAGCAATCCGAATATTTTTTTTATTAAAGCTAGACTAAGAGTCCTGTAATCTTGAGAGCCATACAACAAAATTGGTTCAAAAAGGGTTAAAGTTTGCCCTACGATTTTTTTTAAAGCAGGCCTTAAAACTATCAGAGAGGCGAAAGATGACAAAGGGACACTCATAAATCGAAAATAAACTGATAACGCCATAACTAAAAAAGAAAAAGACATACAGACAAACAACACTACACAAAACACAACACAGAAAGCTAAAGATTGAGCAACAAGAACTAAACCAAAAACTGGGGGTGATCTAAGGTGTTCAGGAAGATTAGCAGATACTGCTCCACATTCGGATCCCGTCGTGTTGCTCATATTAGTACAAACCCGGTGATAAGTCTTAACTCGGTAGATCACATTCGGGGAAAAGGGGGCGGGATTGTAGTTACGACAATTGGAACATATCTGTTGTCATCTATGAAACGGATGTTCTATAACGATCAACATACTCGTGATTTTGTCCCTTAAATTTTTAAACTTTGAACTCTTGGTTTAATACCTCCCTTGTGAGTAGCAACCTCCTCAATCCTGATTAAGGAAATCGGGATAGGAAATACAAGCCCTGGAATATCGTATCAATTAGGAGATATATACTCCGTATGCAGCCGCTGCTGGGAAGCTGAAATCATCTCTTTTGTCATAAAGTTTTGTTTTTAACCGACCCTCATTGTCAATTTCTAGATGTAAGTCAAGATATGAGGCAGACTTAACTGTATCTGTTGTATCCTTTATCTCAAGTTCGATGGGATAGATGCGTTCAACAAAGTCACCAAATTTTAAATTATTTAGTAAGTGAACATCATCTTTATAGCGGAAAGTGAAGTTAAAGGATACTGTTAACTTCTTTTTTTTCTTCCTAAAAAGTAAAATCACAAAAATACTGAACTCAGAGGAAAAGTTCAAAACGGAAAGTCCCTAATCAAATGGCAAAATCAAATGATAAAACACATCAATCGAATGGACAACAACTGTCATATTCCTGACTTGGTACATAGATATAAGAAGATGTGGTATGAGTGCCAATGAGACAACTCTCCATCCAAGTCAAAATTTATAAAAGTAAACCATTATAGGTCACAGTACGGTCTTCAACACGGAGCCTTGGCTCACACCGAACAGTAAGCTTTAAAGGGCCCCCAAAATGACTAGTGTAAAACCATTCAAACGGGAAAACCAACGGTCTAATCTATATAAAAAAACGAGAAACGAGAAACACTTATGAACCACATCAACAAACGACAACTACTGAAAATCAGATTCCTACAAATGTAGAAAATGGTGGATTAAACCTGGTTTTATAGCGCTAAACCTCTCACTTGTATGGCAGTCGCATCAAATTCCATTATATTGACAACGATGCGTGCACAAAATGTCACAAAAAGGGGTACAACAACAACACGAACCCCACCAAAAGCTGGGGTTGATTTCAGGAAATCCGGAATGATAAGCAGATCCTGCTCCACATGTGGCACCCGTCGTGTTTATGTTATTATAAAGCCGGTAAATAGTCTAATTCGGTAGGTCACATTCGTGAAAAGGGAACGGGATTGTAGTTACGACATAAGAAACATATCCGATATCATCTGTATAACGGATATTCCATAACGGTCAACCAACTCGTGATTGCGTTCGTAAAATTTACGAAGTGATGATTTCAACTTCACCATTTGGAACTTTTGGTTTAAAAATGAAAAGGTAACAATTGGGAAGCTGAAATCATCTCATTTGTCGTAAAGTTTTGTTTTCAACCGACCCTCATAATCAATTTCTAGATATAAGTCCTAATCAAATGGCAAAATCAAAAGCTCAAACACATTAAACGAATGGATTACAACTGTCATATTCCTGACTTGGTACAGGCATTTTCTCATGTAGAAAATGGTGGATTGAACCTGGTTTTATAGCGCTAAACCTCTCACTTGTATGACAGTCGCATCAAATTCCGTTATATTTACAACGATGCGTAAACAAAACAGACATAATAGGTAAAATAGTCACAATATGGGTACAGCTGTCATTACTGTGTCACAATCTCAAAACAAACAAATATTTAACAAAAAAGCACACAAAAAATAAAATCACAAAATTACTGAACTCCGAGGAAAATTCAAAACGGAAAGTCCCTAACCAAACTGCAAAATCAAATGATAAAACACATCAAACGAATGGACAACTGCCTAAGACGTTTCTGTATGAAGTTATCCTCATATGAATAAAGGAACATGCGGACAAAACAGGAGAACAGTTGGTTACCATGGGAATGTCGATTGATTGTTAAACAACACGTCCTCCAAACGTAGCAAATATGTTGTCAATTAAGACATCAAGCATCTTGATAATGTCAGTTTCAGAGCATTTATGTTTGAATAAGAGCGATGTCTTTCAATAAGGATTTATCCCTCCCTAAGACATGATACTTGTATCTGCGTTGGCCATTTTTTTTTATAGAACAAAGCAGGGCCCAGTTTTTCAATTTGTCTTTTAGTTTGGAATGGGAAATACTTGTATAAAGTGTAGAAAAGTCAAATGTTTTAATACTATTATAAATGTTCATAATTTAGAAAGGCACTTGGAAGCCCCAACAATATAACGTTGTTTGTAAGGACACTTATGTATATCTTTGGTTGAAATTCCAAAGGAACATAGAACAGAACTATGTTTTCCAGGATTTTCTCCCTAGTAAGTGGCATTGCACATGGAACTAATTGTAATTTTTTTTGAATCAGAAAATTCTTTACACATCCATTGTAAATTACGAAGTATTTGGTCCTTCATTATAAATTATTTGTGTTGGAACGTCGGATTTTGTCCAATGCTTTATGACACTTTATATCATAATTTACTTTGGCTGCTATCCTTTATCCAGAATATATTTATGTCTACAGATGTAATATGAACCTTGGCACCTTTTGGTTACAGAACATTTTGAATCGAACATTGCGGCTAAAGATTGCCTAAAGCTTTTAAAAAAAATAGATTTAAATACGTATGTTAAAAAAATCTCGCCGCGACATAGCCGCGATAAATCTGAAAATATTTTCCTAAATTAATTTTCATCCATTTCCGTAAAAGTGGAACAATTTTCGGTTCGTTTAAATGTCAATGATAGTGTCCAGGGACAGTCCCAATGTATCTTGACCTGGTGTTGATGGTTGTTTAACATTGTTGTTTTATGGGGTGTATTTAGGCGGAATTTCAATGTTGGTTGTGGGTTTGGTCTGTTGTACTCTCTGATAGTTTTTGTAATTTCGGTTATCTCTTTTGATGTATTATTTTCTTTTAGTTTTAGGTTTTTTAATTTTAGATTTTACTTTAAAAATATCCGTTTGTGCAGACTTTTCTATAAATACTAATTTGTTTCCAAAACCGATAGAATTTTTTGAAGTTTTGAGCAATGTTTGTCATTTTCAGTTTGTCATATGTTTAGATAAAAACCTAATCGAAAACATGAAAGCAGAGACATGCAACTGTGCTATTCTAAGCATGGAAAGACTTTTGCAGATTTGTCTTGGAATGAAATAAATTCTTTCGGACTTTGCCCTTTTCATTCAATTCAAGAATTCAAAACGTTTACCAAAAGGAAAAGCACAAAAAAAAGGAAAAGACATGCATGATTTTTTTTTTTAGATTGAAAACATTCAAAAAGATTTACAATTCATGCATTTTTTATTTCACTGTGTGTTACTTCGCACATCTTAACTCTTATATAATAATTTATCTGAATCAAGGTCTATTCAATACACATTTGGCTTTGTCTTATGATTTTAAATAGTCAAATGATAACTTACCATTATCCGTTGACGAATACACACCAATTAATGGTGTATTTGGAAAATATAAATATCTTATCTTATCTACTTCCGTATTTGCATCCTGCATCATATGACTTCATGCATTAGACGAGGCCTCATTTTGGAAATTAATCAATACATTCAACCAGTCTTGTGATGTCTAAGGGTAAGTTAAATTTAGGTATATTATTTCTCACTTCTAACTGATTAGCACTTCATAATTATATATTCGTTTATTTCAAAATTGTAAATTATTATTGTAAATTTAGTTAAATCTATAAAGCATTCGTTGCTTTAAGTAAGTATTTATGCAGTTCAGTCTTCAGTGAAATCTATATGGGTGTTTTTTAAATTTTTGTCCAATAATTGTCAACCCATATATCCGAGATAATCCACCGGAACCCTCCCCTCAATAGTATGATCAATATAATTAATAAACCTTTTGTTTACTTTATTCTTTTTTTTTTTGTTTCTTGTAGGACAATTATCGAAAATTTAGATACAGCATGTGGACGTTAAAGCGTGTTGTTGCTTTTATTACATGTTTTTCCGTTGATGTGTTCGGAGAAAACGCAAAATCTGTAAGTAATTTAAGATAATGATAAAAAAAACCTAGAATTTATAAACTTTTTATACAATCTTCAACAAGGTCATTCAGATAACACACCGATATATGAAGACATCCAAATATAATACGGCTTGTTTTTATATTGAATTACTAATTTCAGAAATATGTTGTTCAGGTGACTTTGAATAGTTTTTGGTAGCTTAGACATACTTTATTATTAGATGCACATATACTATATTTGAATAATTAATGCAACCTACAAACACGATATTTACTTCAAGGGATCTCGTTCCCAAGCATTGTCATTATTTTACATCTGATGTTTCTGTCTGTATTTAAAGTATCATGACGCATGTACAGTGAAACTAAGTAAAAGGACGACTAATTGATATTCTTAGGGAGGCCAAAAAGGATTACTTTCACCTATAGCGAGTTACGCTTCTTTGTTTTTGTTCATTTATGCTGACTTTGTACTCAATTATATTCTTCATTATGTGGTGTATACTATTTATCTACAATTTGGCAACTTTATTTATTTTCAATTCTTTCCACATTTTCAAAATCATTCTGCCTATCCTCCATCCCAGAATATCAAATGGTTATCCCCTAACTTAAGTTCCTAACACCAGTGTATGATTGGGATGGAACATATAACAATGAAGATTTTTTTCACAAGACGAATAGTAAACAATTAATATATTACAATGTAAAGATATGTAAATTTGATAAAACTTTGTTAATACGTTATTTGAAGTGGAAAGTATCTGCTATCAATTTATGTGTCTCCTATCTGCGATGATATAAAAATTTTATGTAATGCCATTGAGAAAACGTTTTCATGTGTATGTATAATCATAGTGTCCTGCATCTTCCTTGACGAACATTTTTATGTGTATGTATAAATATAGTTTCCTCCATCTTCCGTGACAAACATTTTCATGTGTAAATATAATCATTGTGTCTTGCATTTTCCTTGACAAACATTTTCATGTGTATGTATAATCATAGTGTCCTGCATCTTCCTTGACAAACATTTGCATTTGTATGTATAAACATAGTGTCTTGCATCTTCCTCGACAAACATTTTCATGTGTAAGTATAATCATAGTGTCCTGCATCTTCCTTGACAAACATTTTCATGTGTATGTATAATCATAGTGTACCGCATCTTCCGTGACAAACATTTTCATGTGTATGTATAATCATAGTGTCCTGCATCTTCCTTGACAAACATTTTCATGTGTACTTTTAAAGAGTGCCGTACCTGCTTTTAAAGAATATTTTCATGTGTTTGTTTATAGTGGCTCCTATTTGTCTTGACAAAACATTTCAATTTGTGTATTTGATAATAGTGTCCAGCATTTTCTTTGTCAGAATATTAGAAGGTGTATATTTATACTGTTTCGTATTTACCATGACAAAACAATCTCATGTGCATGTTTATATTTTCCTGCAGCTACTTTAAAAGAACATTTTTATGTAGATATAAGAATATGTGGTATGAGTGCCAATGAGACAACTCTCCATCTAAGTCAAAATTTATAAAAGTAAACCAATATAGGTCAAAGAACGGTCTTCAACACGGAGCATTGGCTCACACCAAACAGCAAGCTATAAAGGGCCCCAAAAATTACTGGTGTAAAACCATTCAAACGGTAAAACAAACGGTCTACTCTATATAAAAAACGAGAAACGAGAAGCACGTTTTAATGGTACCAAACCTTCACCCTTATCTGAAACAATAGTGTAACATTACAACATAGACAGACACTCTATAAAATATCATTTGAATTGGTTTAACCCAATCAAAAGACATATTAACACCAGTGAACATACACTGAACAAATAAATTTGATCTATGATACAATGTAAATACAAAATAAATAAACTAAGGGAAGAATAATTAAAGTAACATGTTATACCGCTGTGAAATGTTAAACAATATAAGAAAAACAATATGCTTGAACAAAAATATCAGCCATTTGCAATTACTTTAAACACAGGTAAATGAAAATAATTTTGTTGTTAGGTATACGTGTACAGTTCAAATGTATGTTTATAATGTCTCCAATCTACGTTGATAGAACATTTTCATATATTTACCTTGATAAAACATATTCATGTGTGTGTTGAATAATAGTGTATTGCATCTGCCTTGACAGAGTATTTCCATTTGTATGTATATACTGTTCTTTATCTGCCATGTCAAACATGTTCATGTGTATGTTTATAGGGTCTCCTATCTCCGTTGCTAGAACATTTTCATATCTACCTTGATAAAACATTTTAATATCTACCTTGCAAATACATTTTCATGTGTATGTTAAAAATTGCTGTCCAACATTTTCCTTCACCAAAACCTTTTCATCTGTTTGTTTGCAGTGTTCCGTATCTGCCATGATATAACGTATTTGTTGTGACAGCACATTTTCATTACGATGTTTACACTAAATAATTCAAAATTTGGTGACTATGTTGAACCCATCTATTCCATCGAACTTAAGATAAAGGATACAACAGATACAGATAAGTCTGCCTCATATCTTGACTTAAATTTAGAAATTTACAATGAGGGTCGGTTGAAAACAAAACTTTACGACAAAAGAAATGATTTCAGCTTCCCTATTGTGAACTTGCCATTTCTATGTAGCAAAATTCCAGCAGCGCCTGCATACGGAGTATATAACTCCCAATTGATACGATATTCCCGGGCTTGTATTTCCTATCATGATTTCCTTGATAGAAGGTTGCTGCTCACAAAGAAGCTATTAAACCAAGAGTTCCAAGTGGTGAAGTTGAAATCATCCTTTCGTAAATTTTACGGACGTCATCACGAGTTGGTTGACCGTTATGGAATATCCGTTTCACAGATGATAGCGGATATGTTCCTAATGTCTTAACTATAATCCCGTCCCCTTTTCACGAATGTGACCCACCGAATGAGACTTGTTACCGGGTTTGTACTAACATGAGCAACACGACGGGTGCCACATCTGGAGCAGGATCTGCTTACCCTTTCGGAGCACCTGAGACCACCCCCAGTTTTTTGTGGGGTTGGTGTTGCTGAGTCTTCAGTTTTCTATGTTGTGTTTTGTGTTTGTCTGTTTGTCGTTTTCTTTTTTAGTCATGGCGTTATCAATATAAAAAAGAAGATGTGGTATGATTGCCAATGAGACAACTCTCCACAAGAGACCAAATGACACAGAAATTAACAACTATAGGTCACCGTACGATTTTATTTTCGATTGAAGAGTTTGACCCTCTGGTATCTTACGCCCCTCTTTTATTGTTTCCAGGATTTGCTTTGACAGAAAATTTTCAATTGTACTTTTGTAATGACGTATATTTGCCATGACAGAACACTTTTAAGTGAATGTTTAAAGTGTCTCTCTTTACAGTACAATTCCATGTGTATGTTTAATTATAGTGTCTTGCATCTGTCTTGACAGAACATTTTCCATGTGTATGTTTATAGTGTCCAGTTCCTGCATTGACAGAACATGTTCATACTTATGTTTATAGTGTCCCGTATTCGCCGTGACAGAACTTTTTCAAGTGTATGTATACAGTGTCCCGTATCTGCCTTGACAGTACATTTTCATGTGTATGTTTATATTGTACCGTTTCTTTTTTTTACAGTAGATTTTCATGTGATGGTGTATAGAGTACCGTTTCTTTCTTTACAGTATATGTCCATATGAATGTTTAAAATTAGTGTCCCGTATTTGCCGTGACAGAACATGTTTAATGTGTATGTTAACAGTGTCCCGTATCTGCCTTGACAAATCATTTTCGTGTACTTTTAAAAGTATCTCATATCGACTTTCACAAACGATTTTCATCTGCATGTTTGATAGTGTCCAGTATTTTTCTAATGAGTTCATTTTTCGTATATGTTTAATTATAGTGTCTAGCAACTGTCACGACAGAACATGTTAATGTATATTTACATGGTGTCCCGTATTTCCCGTGATAAAATATTTTCAAGTGTATGTTTAAAGTGTTCGGTATATGCCTTGACAGAACATTTCCATGCGTATGTTTAATAGTGTCCGGTATCTTTCTTTAGAGAACGTTTTTCAAGTGTATGTTTAATAAAAGATTCCGGTATATGCCTTAACAGAACATTTTCCTGTGTATGTTTATAGTGTCCGGTATCGGCCTTGACAGAATATTTTCATGTTCAACCGGCTTATTCAACAGTTAGCGATGATATTCAACATGGAACCACGTTGACAGTTAAATGCGAATCTACACAAGAGTTTTCTTGGGCATTGTGCCTAAGCGGACAATGGACAGTAGAAGATAAAGATTGTAAGCACACTATTATGTTTATTCATCCTTTAAAAACAAGTTGAACGAGGCAACAAACTATATGTTGCAAACTCAATGTAATGTGTCGTTATTTTTAGGGATTCGATAAAGCATGGACTTTATACATAAATAAAAAAAGAAACAATAAGTCAGAGAGTATATGTTTTGCAATATTTAGATGGGTATTGCATCGCTTGAAATAGGCATCAACAAAATCCTCTAAACTA